GGTTTTTCTCCGGTACCGGGAACCGAACTCACGACCTTGCGCTTGCCAGGCAGGCGCTTTGCCGCTGAGCTAAATCCCCAGCCCGGTCTCACTTATTTTGCCAGCCAACTTTGCCACACCCTGCTTTCTGTCTCACAGGGTTTCTAACGAGAAATCTGATAGCAATCTGAGAGAGAGAGAGAGAGAGAGAGAGAGAGAGAGAGAGAGAGAGAGAGAGAGGTCGAGAAAGAGAGAGGGAGGATTGAGCCCAGAGTCTGGACCATGCTACACAAGTGCTCTACCCCTGGGCTACATCCTCTTATGCTGGTGATCTTGTTGGGATGTCTTACTTGTAAGAAGTCACTTCTGTTATGCTACTGTCAAGTTTCTCTCTGTCATGCTTTTAATAGTTTTATTGTAATGTGTCTCAGAGTAAGTCTCCTTGAATTTATCTGTCTTAGAATACATTGAGCATCTTACATACTTTTGTTCATGTCTTTCAAAGTTTGGGAAGTTTTTAGCTATTCTAAAAAAGAAAAACAATGCATATGATCTGCTTGATGTGGTCCCACAGGCTCTGTTCTCTTTTCTTTCTTTCTTTTTTTTTTTTTTTTTGTTTTTTTGTCTTTTTGAGACAGGGTCTCCTTATGCAGTTCAGGCTGGCCTTGAGCTCACCTTGTAGTCCAGGCTGGTCTCAAACTCACAGTGATCCTCCTGCTTCAGCTTCCCGAGTGCTGGGATTACAGGCATGTGCCACCACACCCAGCTTCCCCAGTGCTGGGATTACAGGCATGTGCCACCAGGCCTGGCTTGTTCACTTTTCTTTAATCTTTCTTTTCTGTTCCTTAGATTCAGCTTCAGTAGTCCTGTATTAAAGTTTGTTGATTTCTTCTGCCAACTCAGGTCTGCTTTTGAATCCTTTTAGTCAGTTTTAAAATTTTAGTAATTATATTCTTCTGCTCCAGAATTTCTTGTCTCTTTTTGTGGTGTCCAGGGCCCTAAAAATGCTAGGCAGATGCTCTTCCACTGAGTTATACCCCCAGCCCTATGTCTGCTTTTTGTATTAGAATTTTTCACTTACACTAAAACTTCATCTTAAAATGCTAACTTATTTTATTATGAAAAATAACACTCACAGAAAAAGCAAATGTAAGTGTACAGCTTAAAAAATTATTCCAGTAAATGTCTACAAAGCCACCACTCAGTCAAGAAACAGATATTGCAAGTACCACAGAAGCCTGGCAATTGCTATCCTTTATCGCTGCAGCTCTGATCCTTTTGTTTGTTTGTTTGTTTTTTCTGGTACCGGGAACTGAACTCATGACTTTGCGCTTGCCAGGCAGGCTCTGTGCTGCTGAGCTAAATCCCCAGCCTGCCCCCACTTTTTTTTGTACCAGGAATCGAACTCAGGACCTTTCGCTTGCCAGGCAGACACTGTGCCGCTGAGCTATCTCCCTGGCCCCATCCTCTGATCCTTTAATAGAACTTTCTTTTTATGGTTCTGGAAGTTGAACCCAGGTCCTTGTGCATGCTAAGCAAGACCACTACCACTAAGCTACCTCCTGTCCCCTGATGTAACTTTTGCAATTGTCTGGACATAGTTTCGTTGAATTCTTTCTGTTCTGTGATGTTCCTGTTAGTGGTGTGGAACTTGTAGTTGTTTTAAGTTGTGTTTTATTTATGTTTGAATGTTATATTTTTCTTTGCATAGCACCATTTTTTTTTTCTGGTGAACTTGTCTTTTGGGAAACTGCAGACTTCAGCTTCTATTTTGATGTTTTAATGTCTATGAATACTGTACTTTCACAGTATTTTGGCCTTCATTTTTGAATGGGTTCTTCCTGGTCCATCCCAATGGAGGAGTGGATGGAAAGTTGGAGTTGTGTCCCCAGCTCTCAGTTCTAGTGCTTTCACTTCTATTGCTGTAATATAGTGTAATATAGTGGGATTTTTTTTGAGATAATTAGTTAATCATAAAAACACACCAGTAGCCGGGGTGGTGGCACACACCTATAATCCCAGCACTCAGGAGGCCGATGCAGGGGATCGTTGTGAGTTCAAGACCAACCTGGGCTACAAAGTGAGCTCAAGGCCAGCCTGAACTGCATAGCTAGACCCTGTTTCAAAAAGACCAAACACAGGGGCTGGGGATTTAGCTCAGCGGCAAAAGCGCCTGCCTGGCAAGCGCAAGGTCGTGAGTTCGGTTCCTGGTACCGGAGAAAAACCAAAAAAAACAACAACAACAACAACAACAAAAAAAACAAAAAGACCAAACACACACACACACACACACACACACACACATACACACACACACACACCAAAAAGGGAAGAGCCAGGCATGGTGGTACACTCCGATAATCCCAGCACTTGGGAGCCTGAGGCAGGAGAATCACCGGGAGTTTGAGGCCATGCTGGATTACGTAGTGAACTCAAGGCAAGCTTGAAATGCATAGCAAGATCCTGTCTCAAAAAAAGAGATACGAGTGTGAGTTAGGGCTCCACTGTGCTCCTGCCACCAGTCTTGTGTCATACAAACCCTGAGTGTTGACAGGATAATGCAGGCCTGAGGTGACGGAAGCCTGGATCAGAATGAGGTCTGAGGATGGGAAGGAGGGATGTGTAAAACTGGAATTTGCGCTGTGGTGAATTTCACCTAACTCTTTCTCTCCTCCAGGATAACTTGAAGCCATTGCCTGTCTTGGATATGTGGCCATCTTCTGGAAGCAGCAGAGTAAACACCTCTTGGAACTATGGCCCACCAGGCCCTGAGCACTGCTCTGAGGACAGAGAGATGTTGAGTAGTTTTTTGGTGTCTACTGAGACACCCAGACAGGATGCAGGTGAAGTGAGGGCCTGTTTCAGTGTATCACAGAATGAGCACAACATTAGCTACTGCCCCGTGACCTTCACCTACCCAGTGCCGTACTGCCAGAGGGAGCCTCCGTCCCAGCCAGGGATGATTGGCAGGGGACCTGAGATGATGCCCTTACAGCCTGGTATTCAAAGCACGGATCTAACCTTCAGTGAGAATCTGAGGATGCCCTCCAGTGGGCTAATGTCAGCTCCAAGTGGAATCTCAACGGTGTCCCCCACCAGTGCTCCAACAATACCTTATTGTGGGCCCCCAACGTCATTACCTATCAGAGGCTCTTCACAATCTGAAATGTTATTGGGTCCGACCATGCCTTCCACTGAGACCCAGGCTGTACTCCCATCTGTGGGTCAGATGTTCCCACCCGGAAATCCCTATAACCTTACGATTCCCCCAGCTGGATCCCAGTCACTGCAGACCTTAGACTCTCAGGTCTCTCTTTTGAATCTGTCAGGCTCCCACAAAGACCTCTTCCAGCCTGAGCAGCCCACAGCTGCTCCTCAGAGAGCAGAGAACTCCGGGGTCTGGGGAGGGTCACCCAAAAGGCAATCCTCAATTCTAAGACCGTACTGCTGCCCATATAAGGACTGTGGAAAAGCTTATACGAAGCGCTCCCACCTTGTGAGTCACCAGCGCAAACACACAGGTGAATGTGTCATCTGGGGAAGGGGTGGAGGAGTCCCTGGGCTTTCGATTTGTGTACAGATTGGTAATTTTTTTGTTTTTTTTTTGTCTTTTTGAGATAGGGTCTCGCTATAAAGTTCAGGCTGGCCTTAAACTCACTTTGTAGCCCAGGCTGGTCTTGAACTCCTGCCTTGAATCCTCCTGCCTCCTCCTCCTGTCTTGAATCCTCCTGCCTCAGCCTCCCGAGTGCTGGGATTACAGGCATGCACCACCATGCCTGGCTCCTGATTGGTAATTGATGGGATTAGCTGTTTATCTTTCATGTTTGGAACCAAACTCTGCTAACCCCATCAACTTGCCACCCAGAATGACTGCCAGTGTGGTGGGGAGGGTATAGTTGATGGCACTGTACTCTCTCTGGTTTTCATTTGTTTGTATTTTTTCTTTTCTTTGTTTTTTTGGAGACAGAATTCTGGCTATGCAGTTCAGGCTGGCCTTGAGCTCACTATGTAGCCCAAGCTGGTCTCAAACTTGCAGCAATCCTCCTGCCTCAGCCTCTTGAGTGCTGGAATTACAGGCATGTACCACCATGCCCAGTCGTTTGTTGGTTTGTTTTCTTTTTGTATTTTTATTTTTTCTCTGCTTTCCTATATCTTCCCTTTTGATTTCCCAACCTTGACTGTTCCTGCTTCATAGTCAGATCCCTTCATCTCACCATCCCTTCATCCACTTAATCCCACATCTTGTCACTCCCCAGGTGAGAAGCCCTATAAGTGCAACTGGGAAGACTGTACCTGGTGCTTCTTCCGTTCCGATGAGCTTCGACGTCATATGCGGACACATACCAAACACCGGCCACACGGATGTGATGTGTGTGGCAGACAGTTCATGAGATCTGACCATCTCAAACAACACCGAAAGACTCATTTCCGACTGCTGTCGGATTCCCCAAGGCAGCCAGCCAACAATGGACAGATGGATGGTCCTCCGGCTCCTGGTCTTTAGGTCAGTCTCCTCCTCTCATTTTGGCTTCTACCAAAGATCTCTACCCAGACCCTGTTAGTCTCTGATCAGCTCATCTTTTGGGCAGGTAGGGCTTAGGTGAAGATAGATGAAGAGGCAGTGCTGAAGCCCAAATGAAGCTCTGGACCCCATTAGAGAGTCCTCAAAACTCTCAAGCACTGTCTTGGATGCCTTCTCCTCTCTGGGGCCACCTACTTGTGCCAGTTAGCCAAATGAGAAGATGGAGAGTGCCATAGAGACAGGTTTATTAAAAAGCTCCCTATCTCGTGTCATTCCCCAGCTTGCAGCCCTTTAGTGACCCTCTGCCTGCTTCATAAAACCCAAAGTTTTTTAATCTTGATCTTCCAGATTCTGGTGTGAGACTGTTTAGATCTTGAACTTACCACTATCACTCGCCGTGTGACCTTGGGAAGTATCTTTCATCACCATGCCTTAATTCATCCTCTGGAAAATAAGAAAAACCACCCTGGACTACATTGGATATGTCATATACTGCGTCAGTTCTCCTGGGACTCACCGCCTGAGTGTCCAGCATTTGTCTCTTCCTTCCAGACCTGGGTGGAATGGCCCACTGCAGGGTGGGATCCAGCATCCCATGTAGCTACGGAAACCTGGAAGTGCCAAGGAATTAGTACTCATGGGGTAAAATTTAACTAATGGGAAATGGGAAGTAGGAGAGAGCCAGGCAGAGACACTCTGCCTTCTTCTCTCCCTTTTAAGAATTGCTGTATAAGGCATGGTTCCTCCCCAGCAGTGTAGCCTTCAGGGAGATTTCCAAAGTTCTGGTGGGCACAGCTGTAGGGTCTCTTCCATGCCTGGCATGTGGCTGTACCCAGCTTGGAAGGGTATCATCTTGCTACCTCCAATCTCCCTGCCTCACTTCCATTTCTCACCCCCTAATGCCTTGAGTTTGTCCTTCCCAAATAAAACATCCATATTCAGTTCCTGCTGTAGGCTTTTTTTTCTAGGTGCTTTGAGATGGGAGAAGAGGAGAACATTAGACTTTGGCAGAGAAAGTCCAAACCCTGCTGTGACTCCTCTCCTAACCTAGCCCGGTGTCTGGACCTTGAAGTATCAGATGTTAGGGGGTCTATTCTGCCCTGCTGTATGACTGTCTGGGCAACCCAGGTAGTTAGAGCCTCATTTCTGGACTCAGCAGGCTATTTTATTGACCAATGAGCTCACAGTAATAAAGGAACTAGGTCAAGCTATCAAGTGGTGGAGCTAGGATCTGTTTGCCCTGAACGTGAATCTCTTCCCTAATAGGTGTTACCTACCACAGATGCTGGCCTGAGCCCAGTTACTCTCCATCACTGCCAAGTGGTGGTTGTCGTAAGATGAGTTGGGTCTGATTCTTATGCTTGAGGAACATTCTTGGTCTAGGTCAAAGGGAATCACCTGGGTACAGTGGCCATGGGGAAGAGAAACCCTATAGGAGTGGTTAGAAAGGCTTTCTGGAGGAAAGACCGAGGTGACCCTTGAGCCCAGTAAGAATGTAGCATCTAGAAGTCCCTCAAGTGTTGAAAGAAACAGCAGAGGCATGCTGAGTGGAGGATACTCCAGGAGGAAGACTGCCTGCAAGAGCACCACACAAGCACCGGTACTGTGCAGACCCCTGGCAGAAGTATGGAGACCACTAAAGGATGTGTCTGTGAGGAGGAGACGTTCATTTGTATTTGTGATATTGGGAATTGAAGCCAGGACCGTGTACGTATTACACAAATTACCACTGAGCTACAAGAAAGACTTCTTTGAAGAGGTGCCTGAGTCAGACCTGAAGGGCTCATGGCTACAAGCTGTGCCTCCCATTTCTTGGACTCTCAGGACTTGAGGAAGATGAAGACATACTGCCTCCATTTTGGAGAAGAAAGACCATGGACTAAACTTCTGAATGTGCTCGGTGCTGCCAGGGAGCACAGCTGGTCCTCTGAAGGCTAAACCCTGTTCTGGACCTCTGGGGAAGCTCTGTAGCCAAGACTGTGTAGGCTCTGGCCTTGGCCCATTGCTGCCCTGACCCCCTTCATGATTGCCCTGGATTGTGCCACTAGTGGCCCCAGCATCCTTGGGCCAGGGCACCATTTGCCCTTTACTCGCACTCAGAGTGCACATGACTTTAAAAAAAAGCAGGAAGTGGCCTGGGCTCACTTGTGACCCCATCCCTGGTGCCAGAGACAGGTCTGGGTAGAGAAAGCCTCCATTCACAGCTGGCACCAGGTCCCTCCCAGGAACACACCATCTTTGGTTCAGTGGGCCACCTCCTCAGCTCACTGCAGGAAGGGCTGGTGGGCTTGAGCTTGTGGCTAGTACACAGGAGAGGGCTGTTTGGAGACCATCACGTGCCGAGCAGTGGACCTGAGGAGCAGCCAGAATGGGCTGTGGTGGCCAAAACAGGCCCCTGACCCTGGACAGCTCTGCATTCTAGTGGAGGAAGAGTTATTAGACTTGTTTCAAATGTCTTGTATTATGAGTAACAAGAATGGATGAACTTCATTAATTTTCTATTTATTGTGATCAGACATGCAAAAGTATTTTGTGTACAGATACTTATTCAAGAGTAATACCTATTTGCTCTTCAGGTCACCTGAGGGGAAAAACTTAATAATAAATCTGAAGCCTTTTTGTATTTTTGAAATTTCATTTAGATGTACATAATAACACTCATCATAGGGAATTTGTACCTGTACCTGATATATCTTTTTTTTTTTTTGTACTGGGAATCAAACTCACCTTGAGACCATACTCTTAAGTGTAAATAAGGACCAAAAATTTACAGTAGAAATTGGGAAATGGGAAAAAATGTTCAAATGGGAAAGTAAATGGGGGTATGAGAAAAGAAGGAAAACATAGAAACAGCTTTTGTTAAAAAAGGAGCAGAAGAGGAGTTGAAGGGAGGGGATTGGGGAAAAGAAGAGCCAGATATATCAGGCAGGGCCAGGGATGTAGCTCAGTGGCACAAATGCCTCCCTTACAAGCATAAGGTCCTGAGTTTAATTCCCGGTACCAAAAAAACCAAAAAAACCCCCACAAAAAACCAAAAAAAGATATATCAGGTACAGGTAGAAATGTATATAATACATATTTTCCCCTTCCTTCTTTCTTTTCTCTTCCCACATCCCAGTTATTCTTTCCTTTTGAGCAGTTTCTTTCTCTTTCATAATATCTATTGTACCTTTCAGATTTTATTTACACTTTCAGGTTCTTACACTAGGGAGATGAGATGTGTTTACACATGTGGGTCTTATTTATTTTACTTATGAGTATGGTCTCTGCATCCATTTACCTATAAAAGTCTCGAGTTTATCTTTCTTTGTTTTGTTTTGTTTTTTTGTTTTTTGTTTTTATTCCAGTACCAGGAATCAAACTCATGACCTTGCACTTGCCAGGCAGGCACTTTGCCGCTGAGCTAAATCCCCAGCCCCTCGAGTTTATCTTTCTTTATAGCTGAGTAATACTCCATTGTATAAAAATACCACAATTTTTTTTATCCATTTCTCAGTTGAAGGTCATTTGGTTTGTTTCCAAGATTTAGCTATTACAAATTGTGCTGCTATAAACATGTGTGCACATATATTGCTGTGGTATGATATTTTCGGTTCTGGAAAAATACCCAAAGGGGAAAAAGCTGGGTTGAATGAGACCTCTAATCTTAGTTTACTAAGGAATCTCCAGATTTCCATAGTGGTTGCACCAGTCTACACTCCCACTGACAGTGGAGAAGGGTTTTCTCCTTACCCCCTCCATCATTTGTTATTGGTTGATTTCTTGATGATGGTCATTCTTTCTGGTGTGAGATGGAATCTCTGTGTTGTTTTAATTTGCATTTTTTAAAAAAAATCTTTTTCAGACAGGGTCTCACTATGCACTTCAGGCTGGCCTTGAGCTCACTTTATAGCTGAGGCCGGCCTTGAACTCATAACAGTCATCCTGCCTCAGCCTCCGAGGGCTGATATTATAGGCGTGCACCACCATGCCCAACTGTAATTTGCATTTCTTGAATGACTAATGATGAACATTTTTTCATGTATTTGTTTGCCATTTGTATTTCTTTATCTGAGAAGTGTGTGTTCATTTCAGATGCCCATTTTTGTATTGGGTTTTTGAATTTGGGGTGCCAGATTTTTATATATATATATTCTTTTTTTTTTTTTTAATCTTTTTGAGACAGGGTCTTGCTTTGCAGTTCAGGCTGGCCTTGAGCTCACTTTGTAGCTCAGGCTGGTTCCAAACTGGCAACGATCCTCCTGCCTCAGCCTCCTGAGTGCGGGGATTACAGGTTTGTACCACCATGCCCAGCCTTGTTCTGTTTTCCTGATGTGTGAATTCACTGCTGCTAATTTCCCTTGGACTGCTTTCATTGTGTCCCGTAAGTTCTGGTATATTGTATTGGCATCATCTTTCAATTAGAGATGCTGTTTAACTCCTTCTTTAATTTCAAGCATGACACATTGGTTGTTCTATAGGGGATTATTTAATTTCCATGCTATATTGTCTAGATATTAGTGCTTTGTCTGTGGGACAACTGGCTGAAATTTTTTCCCACTGTAGGTTGTCTTTGCACTCTATTTCTTTTGCCATGTAAAAGCTTTTTAGCAGGATGAGTATTTTTTTTTTTTGTTTGTTTGTTTGAGACAGGGTCTTACTATGCAGTTTAGGCTGGCCTTGAGTTCCCTTTGCAATCCAGGTTGGCCTTGAACTGGTGGCAATTCTCTTGCCTCAGCATCCTGAGTGCCGGAATTACAGGCCTACAGCACCACACCTGGCTTTAATCAGTCATATTTAAGAAAGGTCCTTTTTTCTTCCCAGGTATAGTCTGGTAGTTCTTTCTGCAATAACACATATAAAGCCAAAATTTCAATAGGTCAGAATCTAAAAAGGTGTTTAATTTATAGTCCTCTTAAGATGGGATTAAGCCAGGCGTGGTGGTGCAAGTCGGTAATCCCAGCACATAGGAGGCTGAGGCAGGAGGATCATTGTGAGTTCAAGACTAGCCTGGACTACAAAGTGAGCTCAGGGCCAGCCTGAACTGCATAGTGAGACCCTGTCTCAAAAAAAAGGGACAGGATTATATCAAAGAATGTAAAAATATGACTGAAATTGATGCTCATCAGAAGGTAACATCTGTGGTTGGATACTTCTGTTTCTTCTTGATGAGGTCCTTGAGAGGCTCACAAGAGTATTTGGTCTTTTCTGTCTTGTCTCCTATAGCCTCCGCTGTATCAGATGGAGAAAGTTTGATCCTAGAGAGGTGACTCCAGCTATCTACACTGCCAACTCTATGGTTGAGGTGGCCAAAATGACTGGAAAAGCAACTTTGCACTCTGGTCTTAATTGGTCTGCTAGGATTCCTTCTTTCCAAGTGTCAAGAAGAACTTGGTTTCTAGGGTGGTCCCAAGGTGGTCACCCCAGGCCAGGAGCTGGTAGGACTTTGTTCCCATTAGATGGGTAGATTGTTGGACTTGGGCTAGATTAATAAGCTACTACCATATCAGAGGATAAAAAAAGCCTTTCATATAGCATTCTAAATGAGCTCATATTTAACCTGGTTTTTGAGGTGTTTTGAATCCTCTGAGAGCTATTGGCAATAATTGGAGCCAAGACTCAGAAACATCTGGTAAAGTTGGGCCAGATTTTCACTGAGGGCCAAAGTTGGGCCAAAGTTCACTTTAGAGTCTGATCAGCCCTTTTAGCTTTTCTGGGGGGCTGAGGACACTGTGCAGAACGGAGGTGGTACTTTATTCCTGAAGTCTTTTCTACCCCCTGAGTTATTTGAAAAGTAAAAGAAGGCCCATTATTACTGTAAACAGACTGAGGTAGTCCAAACTGGGGGATGCATTTTCAGAGGCATATCTTGACTACCTGTCAGTTTTTCTGAGTGGATCAGGAGAGCCTCAGTCCAACCTGTGAAAGTGTCAATCAGGACCAGTATGTGTTTAAATGTGGT